AACGAAGGGCCGACATTGATAATTCAGTAGCTAAAGGCAATTTTTCCCTCCCTCGTGATGATGAAAAAAGCATTGACCTATGAACATATCTCCCACTTATAATATATATATATATATATATATATATATTGCATTTTCTTTTTATCTAAAAGTACAATAATGCTTTTTGATCATCAATTAAATGACTTTTTTCCCTAAAATATCAATCGAACACTTGACAACAAAACTAACGACAAAAAATATTATTGCCAAAGATCTCTTGCAATTTTTTAATTTTATTAACATATTTCTTCTCACGATTGTATTATATAATCATGTTATTCTTGTGCATCATGACGATATATACCAAAATTGATTTATTTTGGAGTGTCAGAAGAGAAAAAGATGAAAACCCTAGAAGTTTTTTTCCACGTTTTTTTTCCTCATTTACTATTGCACCAATAATTTTACATGGTTTCCACGTTTACGATTATATGTTGAAGTCGGCAATATGGGATTCCATACTGAACTTCAGCTTTTGTTCTGGTTGTTCTTATTTATAGAAAGTTGGATACCGTTAAAGATATATAAAAAGCATCCGAACATTTAGTTTAGCGATTATTGATGCTATTTCATGCTCAAAAAGCGAATTTAAATAGTGTAAGTTAATTTCTAAATCACATTTATGGAAGATATAACACTAAATTAACATCAATAATATAACATGTATGGATATTGACACCTACAAATTAAATGGTAGCTATAAAAAATTTCTTGATTAGGGCTAATATCTTCTGCTTCACTATATATCTTCTTTTAAGTAGCTCCAAGTGGATACAATCTGTTAGTAAGGAGTCAAGAGAAGACTTAGTCATATTTATATAAACCTTAATAGAATCCCATCAAGACTCTTATTGGGTTTAGGTCTACATATATGGATTAATCAAACCCAAATAAGATGCGTAAAATTTATAACTAAATCGATTCCTTTAACTTAATTGAGCTTACAGCATGTTTCTCTTAAAATTAAATCTATGGACTTATTTAATTTGTTACTTTATAAAGCAAGATTTCAATTAACCCACAAGTAGAAAAAATTCTAACATAAATTCCCCTTCCTCAAACTAGGTAAACAATGGTATGAAAAATAAATTGGTAAAGTCTCAACCTTTTTTTTTTGTTTTTCAATTTTGAGATGTAACCTTTTTCAATTTTATCCTTTAAAGAAACTTGATAAAAAGAGTTAAGGATTAGCCTATATATTTGTTAAAAGTTACTATCACATTGCAACCGTTTATTCCATTAACTGTTTAAGCTAAATTTTTTTTCCATCAATTTTTCTTAAAAAGATAAAATTAAAAAAAAATTTGCATCTAACTTTAAAGAAATAATAATTAATTGAATTTTAACATGAAGAATTTATAAATATTAAATCTTAAAATGAGTGTTTAGCCAAAGTAAATTCATATAGATTAAATTTGAGGTGTTCTAGCCAAAATGAATCTTAAAATGAACAAATTTTCTTTATCTAGTGTTAATTAATTTTAGGTTGAATTTTCATAAAAAAATTTTTTGGATAACAACACCAAGAATCCAAGGCATAAAAGAATTACATTGACAAATTACTCAAGTGGATATCTAAGTCAAGGGACTATGCCCTTTATTTGGTGGATTTCAGAATCATTAAAGTCAAGATAAAGATCCTAAAATTATTACCTTAAATGTGAAAGATTGACACTTAGCAATTTCTGGCCTCCTTTGAATGGTGTGGTGAGAATCCCTTTCTAACATCCATCCAAATGATGCATCAATCTAATTATTAAAGGTAATTTTGACCTTCAATATTGCTCTATTTGGCCATATGGTTCGATTCCAAGTGCATATTATTGAATTATTAAAAAGAGAACGATGACTTTTTTTCCCAATAATTTTTTTAATTTAATAATAATGTTTTATAACCACATTTTCTTTATGAAATTAATTTTAAATTAAAAAGTTTCTCTCTTCTTCTTTTCCATTCTTCTTACATTTGGGCTATAAATGTGTCAATATCATTTATGTTGTAAAATTTTCCTCTCCACTAAATATGGGATTAGCTGAGAAAATCATGGAATAATGAAAATGAATGTCAACAATATTTATTCACAAGCTTTTTTTTTTCTTGTTTGCATATCCTCTTCCCTTTACTGGTGGAGACCACGACCAAGGATGACTAAATGGTGGAAATTGAAGGACACGGTTAGCCCTTAGTCTTCCATGCAGACACAAACGATGATGCCAGGCCAAAAGCAACAGCATCCTCCGGCGGCCAAGTTTCCGCTGTTTATTTAATCATCATATGTAAACTAAATAAAACATCAATAGAAAACCAATATTAGATTTCACCTTATAACATTTAATTAGTATAAATTGTTTGGGCTAAAGAGAATTTTTTTTAAAATATTAAAGGTTTTCAAAAATTAAATTCTGACCATTAAAATAAAAAATCTAATACCAAATCACACGGCGGTTGGCCTAATAAAGAGATTTCAGCAATCAGACATGGTTAGACAAAGAAAAAGACTTCACACCCGAAATAAGTTGTTGGGGGCACATGACCTTCATGTGAAGAATAAGCCATGACTCAATTTTATTGGAGCCTTTTTGCAATTTTCTGTGTCTTTTAGCCTCCCTAGTAGCAGCCTCTGAATTTCCTTTGACCAGTTGATACATGTAAGGTTTATGAAAGAATATTGGTTTCCTCACGTGCACCAACTAATAAAAAGCATTCAACAAGGTGAATAAAAGTTTAGTTTTCATCCCAGGATGGCTTCATCAATGCAGAAGTTTTGCCTACATTTTATGCTTTTCTTTTGTAGTTTGTTTCTAATTAAATATGTTGATAGAGCAGCCACTTATCAAATTTATATTTTTAATTCTTAATCTACCCTTGAACACTCATCTAATTAAAAAAAATATTACGCGTAAAAATTAATTTAAATTCGTAAATTTCAAGTGCCAACTTCAATATTATACCAATTGATATAAAAATTAATCTGCTTATTAAATTTATTATTGAGTGGGTATTTTCGAGTTTGATATGATTTCTTTCACGTTGTTAATGTCGGATATCATATGAGTAAACTGGCAGGATTCATAAGTCAATAAATTTGACCTATATGTGGAATAACTAATTAACATAATTTCCAAAAAAAAAAATGGCAGTATTGTATATTTTAAGTTATACTAATTGTCCTAGTCTAACATGTGTTTAAGCTAAAGAAACTTTTCTTAAAAATCATTCATTTTATTGAAAATGAAAAATTTTATCATATATATACTCCACAGATTTTATTTTATGATCATACAACTGTTTAGGGTGTTTCAAGTTTTGTCTAAGTCTAATTCACTCTCCGAACGGTCTTAAGGGCATAAACCCTCACATCATTCTAATCTATTTAAGATTTTACTTCTAAGTGCTCAAGGATCAAACTTGGTTAAACTCTCGCTTAATGACTATTCTAACCCTTCTTACTAATACTCTCCTGAGACAAGGCGTTGCCAAATCTCTGTTTTGATTTATTCTTCCCGGTAAATTTGATAACCCAAAGAGGATTTTGCTTTACCATATTCAAGCAGGCCATTGCTATATAGATAGACAGCTCCACCAGGATGAATAGCAAGAAAAGATAGCTACGGGGCGGCACCTCATATGTTTAATTTGAAGCTGCTCATTGCACGCATGTTGCGCATTGCTCTTGGGATATAAAAACAAAACGAGGCCATGACTTTGAGCCAGCACTAACAATGTAGAAACCTGAAAGACCAACCACAACCCAGTGAACAGAATAGAAAGGAAAGGACACTTATCCCATATGCTGAAACACCATCCAAACTCAACGGATAGCTAGCCCATATCCTTCATGGCAAAGTAACAATGATGGCAAAACCTCATTTCAGATTGAAAAACTTTGTATTGGATATATGGACCCTCCAAGCATTACAGCACTACTAATATTATCTGTATAAAAGCTTAAAGCTCTCCCTAGTCACCCCAATAATTGAGTTTCATGGATAAACCACAATCTATGACTGAAATTCAGTCCCCAGTAATGCGTAGAGTTTCATTTCCTTCAAGTACTAGAAAAGTTAAAATTTTCATCAACAAATGGCATGCCCACATGGTGCTATATATTGTTGCATCAGTTTATCTCATCATCTGGAATGTGCATTCAATAAAATATCACTGATATTTCTTAATGTGACCAATATTTTAAAGGCATAGTTCATTTCTTTTGTGAACACCATTCCCATCTTTAACTGTTGAGTTATGATTTCTACGTCTGAAACAAGCTTGGCTACTTTCACCGAGATAATCTGGATTTATCACTTTTTCAACTTCTTCTAAAAATCAAATGGATATCAAAGTGGACCTGAAATCATCATCTCTTCAACTTTGAGATTGGACAGATTAAGTCAAATCACCCTTTATGCTCCCCATGTTAAATATCTCAGTCATTGTTCAATATCTTAGGTGTTTAGTTTCTTCCCACCATGATGTTTCGAGCCGTGATTGGGTAGCAAATGAACCTTACACTGCCAATGGTATGTCGCGACTATCAACTTCAGGATTTCCAGCGGATCAGTTAAAACTTGAAAACTGTGAAAAGGGTTATAAATTAACAGATTTGATGACTCAAAAAAAGGAGGTCAAGACTCCACTGTGTCTTTTTAACCAATCCTCAAATGATTTAAGATTTAATCGTGCTGATTTCTCATTTGTTCATTGTTCTAAATTCTACTTACGTTCATTTTAAAATAGACCAACCATCAGAGGCAAATTGACTTCTTGTCGGCTGTCTGTGCAAACATAATCTAGGCACTTTTCTTCGCAATGTTAGATTTTTCTTTTTTCTTCTTTTTAATTGTTCACTCTAGATTAAATCTCTTTGGCCAAACATCGATAAGATTGCTCAAGGTTGATGTTCAATACTAAAACAAAGAAATTAATAGTATACAAAAAAAGACTAAAGATTGGGTAATTGGAGAAAAGATACTGCTATTTTTATATATGTGCTGAAAATTTTAAGTAATTACAACAAAACAGAGAATTACAGGGATAAACAGAGAAATACACACTACATATGTTCTTGTAATTTATGTACTGTTTCATGCACATAGGTGAAAGAATAAGCAGAAGCCAGCTGAGCTTCAACACTACCTATACCCCAAAGCTACAAGCTGGTCTATCAAAACCTTCCACTTTAAAATAACCAAAAAGTTAAAAGCCTAGGAATAGCCCAAAAACAGGGTTGCCAAGCTGTGAAGCAGAGGAAGAGATTCCGGGCACAATATATGCAAAAGTCCCTCCAGTAAATCTCTCCCCCTAACCTGTTAAACCATCTAAAAAACTTGATGATAACAAGGCTGTTCAAGCTGAATCAGGCCTGCTTTTCCAAGTCCTTGGAGCTTATGAATGTTCCATGAAAACCATATGGAACTCGAGATGGGAGCTTCACTGTGGCTTCTAGCTGTAAATTCATAGCATTCACAATCTGCAGTTCTGATTTCGAGGTCTTCTCGTCGTGAACAAAAGCCAAAACATAGCCCTCATCTTCTTTCTTCGAATTGGGGTTTCGAGGAAAGAACAAAGGCTCACCACCATACCTTTGGTCTCCATAGATATATTTTTTAACTTCTCCTGTTGAAAGGTCAACTTTGGCAAATCCTGACACTTTAGGCCAAGGCTCAGCAAGAGCTAAATATGCGAACCGAGTTTTTCTTCCCAGTAAATTCCTGTTCACCATCCCTGCCTCCAAGTTCACTTGTTCAGATTCTGAAATGATGGGACGGCGCGTTGACTTGCCAGTCTTCAAATTCAATCTAATTTCAGACAGAACACTCTTGAGACTCTCATCACATTCATTGAAAATGGAATCTGGGGGTGTCATGCAGGAGCCAATTACCACAACTTCATCAGTCTCTGGCTCCTCCCAAGCATTCCAAAGATGAAAACAGAAGCAATCAGGTGCTTCAATCCACCTAATCCCAGAAGCATCAGTGGCATTCTTGTCCAATATCCCAAACCTTGAAATCTTGTTCTTGTCATAGACAACTGGTGAACCACCATGAATCATTTCAGGCAATTTGAAAACGACTTGCTGGTCAGGAATCACCACAAAATTTTCTGTGATTGCAAAATCGTGCATCATTGTTGGACCATCGATTGGAATTTCAACATCAGGCGATTTCTTACCATCCGGTGAAAAACGAAAGTACTTAAGATACGGTTTTTGAATGACATCATAGCTAAGAGCAAAGAATTCACCCGTTTCAGGGTCAACTTTGGGGTGAGCAATCATTGTAGACTTTAACTGACAATTGAAATCATATCTGCCAACGGTTTTCAAGTCCCCAGATGGAGTGATACGAACATGGTAAGGCAAATCATCTTCAGACATAGCAAGGAGATGACCGTTAAAGTAAACAACTCCAGCGTTAGCAACTCCAGTACCATGGCTATGATCAACCAGCCCAAACAAGCCACGAGCATAGAAAAGTAACAGTCTAGCTATGCCAGAGTGACCATGGAGTTCACCTATTGCCTTGGGGAAAACTGGACGCCCCAAAGCTCGTTCTTGGACCAGACGGTTTGTTTCAGTGAACCTACAAGCATAGCTAGCAGAACCATTTTTGAACTGAACTGCATGAACCATCCCATCCCCATCAAAGAAATGGTGTCCGGCGACCGGTTCGTGAAGTGGGTTGGCTCCGTTTCGAACGTAGACTCCTTGTATGCATTCTGGGATTATTCCAGTAACAGGAAGCCTATGCTTGACTGGTTGCTCTGGTACTGGAGCAAAGTTGCCCGAGATTTGGACTCTGGGGTCAGCTGTTTTAGGTAGAGGATGTTGACGCTCATGGGAGACCAAAGCATTCTCTACCACATCTAAAGCCATAGCTGCAGCTCTTTGAAAAGGATTCCATTGTTGGGATTGTGTTTTCTCAGTTGAAGAAATGTTTTTGGGGTGTTTTGAGGTTGGACTAGAAGCTGGAGATGGTGATGGAGGATATGTTGGTGATTGTTTAGGCAAATGAAGAATGGAAGGAGTTTGAAGAGAGCATGAAATGTTAGACTTTCTGCTAGGCCTTTTGAAAGGTATAGAAGAAGAAATGGGGCTCGAGTCTGGAGATGAAGACGAGTTTGAAACTAGAAATTTAGGCTTAACACAATTGCCAGTAGCTGCCGCTGTTGATGCAGATGCATATGAAGCCATGGGTGCTCAATTTTGGCCAATTAGAGTGAATGGTGAAACTTGATTGGCTTTGAAAGAGTAAAAATTTGAATGTGAGATTCACTTTATAAGTATTGGAATTGCAAGAAACTTTTAATTGATGTTTGATTTAAGAGAAGAGAATGGATTGAGTGTGTTTTGAAGAGGGAATGGGAGAGACATGATATATATAGAAAAAAAAGAGAGGCAAGCATGTCCACCTAAGACATTTAAGAAGACCACGTGTTGCACTTTGGAAGAGTCAAGAGACAAATGGGCGACTCAAAAGGAGTGACATTTAAACGAGGTCTGGGGAAAGGGTTGCGGGACATAGTTGCTTATTCCTTTGACACGATCACTCCCTTCCCCAGTTGAGTATTTAATATTAGTTTAATTTTAGAATTTTTATATATGATATATTATTAGTATATAAATTTTAATTTTAATTTTAAATTTTAAAAATATTTAAAATTAATTTATTATAAAATAAAGAAAAAAAGACGTTAAATTTAAAATAATAACAGTAACACATGAATAATAATGGGATTTATAATTTTTTTATTTTAAAATTATGATATCTTTTGTATAAAAAAATAGAGAAAACAACAATAAGCTTAAATCATACTACATTGTCAAAATCAGATTGATTTAAACACTCAATTCATTGTCTTGTCAATAAGAGAATATGACATTGAGTGTGTCCATCTCTTGGTAGTATTATTAATAATTAGAGCAATTTATCTATCTTTACTTATTTTTATATTTAATTATTTGATGCTAGAAAAAAAAAACCTTAAAATCATATATTATCAATGGCATATTGCTTCAAATGCTTAGTTTATTTATCTTGTCAATAAGAGGATGTGATTTTAAGTATAGATAATTTTTTTTGTTAGTAACATTTATAATTAAGCTAATTTATATCCATAATTATATGATTTGTTAATAAAATATTAAAATTTTAATTTTAATGATTGAAATTTAATTTATAATAATTTTAAAAATAAAAAATTAATAATTAAAGAGATTTATCTATCCCTTATATACTGAAATAAATAAATAATTAGAGATTTATCTATCCCTTATAAATAAAAAATAAATAAATAAAGAGATTTATCCCTTATTTATATAAAATAAATAACTAAAAAAAAAAAGTAAGGTAGGGCAGGGTAGGGGGGATTGAGTATTAGGCTATTGGACCATTATGACTAAAAAGGGGTTGGGTGGCAGCGATGTTATTGGTCCGTTGGACACGTCTAAACCCGCGTTCCTACCTCTTACGACAGTCATTTCGCCCTACACGTGGCTTTGCTCCGTGCTTGCTGCCCTTCCAATCCTGAAATCTAGGTCACATCGACTGACCCACACGCTTGCCTTTCTCATCCAAGTTCATCTCCCTCTCTAACAAAAAAAAAAAAAAAACACCAAGCCCGCTATCCTCTTTCTCTTTCTTCCTCTTGAATTGTAAATAAATCATATGATATCTACTATTAATAGAAAACCAATTCCATAAAAAATTCACCTGAACATTTAATTTAGCTTATATTTGACTGGATTGTACAGTACATTATGAGTATTTTTCATTGTACTATACCTTTATTGAGGTTTTTTATATAAAGAAAATTACGAGTATAAAAATAAAAAAATTTAAAATTAAATCTTAAATTTATTAAATATTATTTTTAAAAATTATTACATAATTTTATTAATCTTTTTCTTGAGATCTATATGCATATGTTTTTGCAATGATTGTACTGTTTGTTTTTGAAAAAAAATCAAAGTCCATATACATTAATGAGGATTCACTTTGAATTTTTTATCACCAGCATGTCATGTGTTACATCTACATAATATTATTAATTAAACTTGCCCATTCAATAATTAATGATGTCTGTTAATCAATCATTCAATTGCAACATAAACTATCTGTTCTGCTGAAATGTCTGTGTTTTTCTCTATTAACAACTACCATATTAATCATGTAATTAGTGCTATACATGTTTGCAAATATGAATTTATGTTTGGTTACTTGTATAAATTGCAACGAATGAAAGTAATTTTTTTAAAAAAAAGATGCAGTTAATTAATTTTTTTTATATTTATTTAAACTAATAAAAAAATACTGAGCAAATTTATAAACCCTTAAGGTAAAATTCGTCTCGAATTCGATTCGATTTTATGTTTTATTAAATTTGAATTCGATCTTATCCGAAAATTTTTTTATTTTTTTATAATCGAATCCGACTCAATCCGATACTATGTAAATCGTACCCGATCCAAAATTAATAAAATATTATTTTTTAAAAATATAAAATATTATTTTTTAAAAATAAATATTTAAAAATATAATTATATAAATATATATAAATAAAAAATTAAATAATTAATTTTAAAACCCGATCCGACCTCAATTATTTCCTAATTTTATCTAATCAGATCTGACTCAAAATTTAAATTTTAAAAAAAAAATTAACTCAATAAAATCGAATCGAATCGACGTCGAAAATGAGTTTGATTACCGTTTCTACCCCTTACTGCTTAAAAAAATAAAAAGCAAGTGACAGTGGAGAAAAAACATAGATTATTAGCCCTACGTAAGACAACAAAAAGTTGGTGTCAATTCCTATAAATAAATAAAAATATTTTTACTCGAAACCCTATAATATTGTTGTGTTATGTGTATCATTCTCCATGAAAACTACCCAAAGTTCTTTAAACTAATCACTTAATCCAAAATGGGGAGACAGCAGACAGGTGATAATTAGGTACCCTATTTAACGGCATTGTCTAATTGTGTTTTTATCCTAATAATTTCCCTTTTATTTAATTAACTTGCATATCTTCTGGGGAAAGATTTTCTTGCTCAGAAACATATAATTTTTTTTATTAAAACTATAGATTTCAATTAAAAAATTGGGTTTTTTTAATTGATGAAATATTTAGAAGTTATAGGTAAGAGAGATTCCTTTCTAATATTTTTTTTCCCACCATGAACACGAGAGAGGTAAACAAAGTTTTTCAGCATTCAACTTCCAATCACGTTACAATAAAATATTGATTTACAAAAGAATAAGATTTTTTTTTTTTTGTTGAGTGGAAGACTAGTCTCTTCTCCTAATGTCATGGATGACCCTAGACCACCAGAAAGGTAAGTATTATATTCTTTCACTTTATAATATAAAATTAATTAAGCTAACGGTTGATCAAATTGTTGAATGATGACTAATCTTTTCATTATTTGCCATGATCCGATCTCCCATCTTAATTTATAACAAAATACAACATTCTCAAGCCCTTGAACGTGTCAATCTACCTGTGGCAGCATGCTTGCAATGATTAGATCTTGAAACTTTTTATCATATATGGTGTTATATGCACTCATTTCTCACATTCATTTTTTATTTTAGGAATTAAATTAAAAGTATTACAATTTTAAGGGACTACAATAAAATTTTAAAAATTTATATATTATGTAAGCGTGTTAAATGAGTGTACTAGGTGAGCCTATATAGTCTTTTTCTTTTGTTAAACATTGAAAAAATTTTACTTTTTTTTTTATTATATATGGGAATAAGATAGTTTAACCACCTAACTAGGGCATCTTTCTAACTTCCTTATTTATTCGTCAACATTTTTTCTACCATTTTCAAACATTTGCTTTTTCCAAGTCTACATTTTGATTAATTTAATGCAACGTGAACACTATGTTTCCCAAACTTATAATCATCTACTTGCTTAATTAATTAAAAAGAATTAGCTAAAATAATGTTAATTGCCACCTAAAACCATGTTATTCAACCCACCATATCTACCTTTTTCACTAACTTATGTTACCATTTGATATAGCATCAATATATATTATAATATATATGTGCACATGCACGTACACGTCTGTAATTTTGGTGTTTTTGTGTAAACGTGTACGCATGTTAGATTTTGACAAACATTTTTTAGTAAAACTTCATTATATAACCATGACTTTATTATATAACCATGTTTGTTCTTTTTTTTATTATTTAAAATCATAAATCAATATTCAAACATACGCGTGAAAAAAGAAAAAAAAATGAGAGAAATTACCTTCCCCAATTGTATAGCTCATTCATATAAAATTAGCAATAATTATAACTAAGCCATTAAATATTTGCATTATTGATTGAATTCATGTTTGAAATCTTCTTACATAAGGATTTAACCATAATCATAGACGAAAAAGTTGATCATAAGGACGTCCATGATCACAAGAGGTGGGAAACTCTCATGGTTAATAGTATATTATATTAATGTTGTTTTGTATATGATAATTTAACTTGGACCTTTGTCATACTACAAGGAATAATTAGTTAATTAACTATATGATTGACATTAAATTAGAAGAAAATCAAGATTTTAGTTATTTGATTCTATCATGTTACAATTTCAAAATAGAATCCCAACCATGAAAATAATTTTGAACCCAAAGTAACCTAAAAAGAAATTTCATCTTGAATTTCAAGATAAATTTACAATCTTTCATGTGAAACAAAAGAGATCTTTTTAAATAGAGAAAATAATTGCAATTTTCTTTGAAACTTCTTAATTTAAAATCTTTTCAATTGATGAATCATAAAATTAAGAACTTATGCATTAATTCATGTTAGTGTTAACCGTCTATGCTAACCCCCAAAGATACACATAAATAGGTCAAAGGTTTTTTGCTGTTCCCAACATCGTACTACATATACTTTTTGTGTACTTATTGTACTACATATACTTACTTTATACATTACAAAAAAATTTTTAATACTTGAATTTCAGGTCATTTATATTTGAATAAAGCCATGATTGGTTATTTTAGAAAGAAATGGACAAACTTAATTGAAGAAATTTTATTTGAGTTTTGCTACATTATTATTATTACCTTAAGATTATCAAGATTTGAATCATAATTACAAGAATTAAGAATTAAACACTTTATTTACAAATCATATGATTGTTGACATAAGACAATAAAAGCAAATTAAAAGATAAGAGAAAATTCAAGAACAAAAACCAAATAATTGTTCTTGGCTCAAAGTTGGATTTTAATTAATCCTCTTTCTTTCCATAAAATTTTTTTTTAAAGAAACATGTAAATCAGTTTTGCAGATGTAGTAGTTAATGTTGCACATGTAAGAGGCACCTCTCTTAGTTA